TATACTATATATATATATATATATATATATATATATATATATATATATATATATATATATATATATCAGATTTGAGATTTGAGATTTGAGATCTGAGATCTGAGATCTGAGATGGATCACTCCAATGATGACGTCATCGCTATTGCGATAGGCTCACACTTTATTCACACGAGTCACATCATCTGTATAACTGGACAATATTGTTGTTGCTAAGCCTCCGTTTTTCAAAAATTCTCAGACTATAACGTTTTATTGCCGGAGGCCAACATTGAAGGTGAATGTGAAATGATATTGACAGTTGGATAAGCAATGGCTTTGAGCGAGTGGAGCGATAGACCGAAAAAATTTCGCCGATTTGAAGTATGATAGCCGCTTTTCGAATTAATGATTTCTTTATAAATCATGTCATGTCAAGAGTTCCGTTTGTTGTGCCAACTGTTCGTCGGAAAGTATAGAAGGCGGTACAGATAGCAGAGTCGAATGACGCTATCGCATAACGCACGGATGAATACCTGCTCATCGAGATGCATCACATGTCGTTGGCAGATATGAGCTACAGCACCCGTATTTTTCTCGCATTTCAGAACCACCCAGGGGATGGACTGTACGAAAATCTTGTGACCATGTATTAAATACAACTTGGAAATGCAAAGATACGGCGGACGCAACAAAGTGAAGTTGTCGCACAATATTGTACTATTCTCAGTATCCTTCACGATTTTGAGGTGTACGAAGAAGATGAAAGTGGATCGCGCAGATACGTATCGTAAATACTAAATGTAACTAGAGATTATACAAACGCACTGTAGACAGGAAGCACTTGTATTGACAGACGTTAAGGGCTACCCAATTTGTACGGCAGACACTGGATGAAGTACTACAAGGTGAGCGTGTCAAAGATTACACTGAGGGGCGGGACCGGATATACCGGAGCACAAAATAGAGCCATTGCACGCACACGTCCAGTGCAGAGAACGTAACCTGTGATACACAGGACGAGGGTGCCAAATGCTACCGGGAGGACTTCGTGGTTAGCTACCGATATGAGTGCGACACCCGAATGCGCTGGCACTCAACCAGACTATGATCGCAATTACAAATTATATGTTCTTATTAGAAATATCCTTTTGACCTCTATATACATGGCCGAAATAGGAAGTACTATTTACAATATATTTTATATGTAGTGCACTTGTCGAAGCTATATAGCCTTTCGCTAGATTATTTTTCAGGTTCCATTGAAGGCATCGAAGTATACATTTTTCTACTTCGTAAAAAGAATACACAATACCTAGTTTTTATTGCAATTAACTAACTTTATGGAAACCCGATCGTTTCAGAACGACTTTGCCCATGCTTAAAGGTCCTATGTGGGCGAACTACCAGATACTAGTAGATGTCCGACCATTTGGTGCTGGCTTCGTGTTTCGCCTGTTAAAATAAAACGGTTCACAATCAGTAAGCTTACTGTGGGAGTGGTGAAGAACAGCTGACAAGGTCATAATCGATGTACGGGCACTACACCGAAGTACTGGCACATGGTGTAGATACACCCCTGTTGTACAGAGGGGTTCTCAACATCGGAGTCGGAGTAGCACCATTTTTAACACGTAAACGTATACTCTCGTCTGTGTATACTTTACGGCCCGAGTGAAGTGCCGAACACAATTGGAAGACTAAATAGACTCTGTGAACAAATGGAAGCTCTGACAAAGTTGAGAGCCAACAAATAGCACGTGTGGTTTTCTATTCTTCTGTGACGCCCACTTGTTCTATTCGCCTGTGACTTCCATATGCCGAGTATTAGAGATCAATACTGGAACGACAGTTGATCGGGCGATAGTTGATACTAGCAAGTAACGAGGTGCTTGAGGCGGCCACGATGACCTTTTTGTATGACTTGACGGCTGGAAGAATAGCTAACATCAGCATTGTGATAGCTGAATGCACACTTACATTAGTACTATACATATATTTCTATACATATTCGTATACATATATTTCTATACACACACACACACATATATATATATATATATCTATACATACATCCATATACAGATGTATGTATGAGTGATCATATTTATAGAACACACCCTCCAGAATTCTCCCGTCGGCCGGTAGCCTGTGGCCTGAAACACGTCGTCGTAGACCTCCTCGAACCACATCGGTTTGTGGACCTAGAAATTGGCAGGCGCGTGGTGAGTGTTTATTTTAAGAACGGATTCCGATTCCAGCAAATGATATTATATATCACCATGTACGCTACACTAAGGCGATGAAGTAGTATCAGCACCATATCCTTAGACTCATTGCAAACCCAGCAAGACAAATACATCGCATTCGTAGACAAGCACACGTCGCTCGTATATAAGCACCGATGGAGAATGTCAGGGTAGAGGTTGCACTACAACACCACCAGTATATACAACGGTTCCATCTCGGTCACTAACCTCGCCTGTCTCGGCACGAATTTTCCTGGCGGCGCGTTGTTTCTCTTCAAGTCTGCGAAGAGAAGATTTAACGTTTAAGATACGGAGAAGGTGACTAAGCCAGACACGATTGAAGGTGTCGATATTTGACACCGCTTTCGGGGCTTTGGAAACACGTATGAATCTCAGAATGATGTATACAATTTGTCGTACTGTCACACACATATACAAAGATTCAGGCACACAAAGTCACACACAGCATTGCCTCAACGCCCCCAACCAGCCACACATGTATATAAATACATACAAATTGCAACCCACAGTCTTATGCACTCACCCACCTTGAGATATATTGGTAGCAGTATGTACCAGAACTCACGCAGATGTCACACAAAGACAGGCAACATCAAATCAAACGCATACAACATCCGAGAGCACCATGCACACAAGATATACCCGCACAGCCGACTGTCTCCTTCGCCGCGTTCGTCGCATGGCCCTTCTCTGCACATCGTAGGGTGGGCCTTAGGGAGGTAGCCGTTTGTGCCACCACAACAACACAGAGGCCTAAAGATATACAACACACAACAAATAATAGTCATATGCACCCATTGAAACCACATACAACGTCATATATACACAGGTTCCCATGCATACCTGACTTTCTCGTCCGCTGCCTTCTCCACATCACCTTCTTCCAAGCACCGCTGGTCGGGTCTTAGGCGACAGTCCGTGCGTGCAAGCTCAGAGGGGTCTGCCGGCATCTCATTGAGTGTCACTGCGAATCGCGTCATGTTGTACATCCTCTCCTTGTCGGGCAGAGGCGCGTGTATTTGCCAGATGCGCACGGCGTTCTTTAGTTCCGGGAGGCTTATCTTGGTCGCCGTAGAGGGCCAAGCCCATAGGCTCTCGTTCCACTTACCCGAGATCTGCGTGTGTGTGGTTTTAGGTATGGAGTACAGTCAACTGGCTCGAAATATACACAGACAAAGAACTGTAGGTAGACGAGGTGTCTGCCGAATTCACACTACCTTCGGGAGATCTATTAGAGGCTTATATTTTTTTACCAGGCAACGCCCATAGGTTTTTGTGTGCTATTTTTTGTTTGAAAATTGAAAATCCGCTCCTCATACATAAACATGATCATTATGATCAAAATATGTGCTCATTTACGTATACATATTTAGTAGTCGGTTCCATATCGAGGCCTTTAACTTGTCTCACCATTACGGTGTAGCTATAAGTGTAAACATACACGTAGCTATAAGTGCATACATACACGTAGCTATAAGTGTATACATGCATGTAGCTATAAGTGTATACGTACAAGTAGCTATAAGTGTATACATACACGTAGCTATAAGTGTATACATACACGTAGCTATAAGTGTATACATACACGTAGCTATAAGTGTATACATACACGTAGCTATAAGTGGATACATACACGTAGCTATAAGTATATACATGCACGTAGCTATAAGTGTATACATACACGTAGCTATAAGTGTATACATACACGTAGCTATAAGTATATACATGCACGTAGCTATAGATGTATACATACACGTAGCTATCAGTGTATACATACACGTAGCTATAAGTGTATACATACATGATACACGGAGTTACCCTGCGAATCCAGCACACGGCCCTCTACACAGAACATGTTCTTGTTGAACCAGCCGCTCTGCTTGAAGTCCAGCTCACAGGTGTCTCCGGTGGTGTGGTTGGTGATGGTCATTAGTCCGTGGTTATCCAGCCACAGCTTGCCTGTACCATAAACAGTGTATAGTTCAACTGACGAATACGTACGTACGTTTTAAATTCCCGTGCTGTCGATGGAAACCAACCCCAACGTTGCGTACTTACTAATGCCGGTTGTCGTACATAATTGATAGGTATATAACTGAGACGTATATAATTAATACGGATACAGCTGATACGTATATAACTGATATGTATATAGCTAATATGTATATTACTGATACGTATATAACTGGTATGTATATAGCTGATACGTATATTACTAATACGTATATAACTGATATGTATGTAGCTGATACGTATACTACTGATACGTACATAACTGATATGTATATAGCTGATACGTATATTACTGATACGTATATAACAGATATGTATATAGCGGATACGTATATTACTGATACGTATATAACAGATATGTATATAGCGGATACGTATATTACTAATACGTATATAACTGATATGTATATAGCTGATACGTATATTACTGATACGTATATAACTGATATGTATATAGCTGATACGTATATAACATATATGTATAGAGCTGATACGTATATTACTGATACGTATATAACTGATATGTATATAGCTGATACGTATATAACTTATATGTATATAGCTGATTCGTATATTACTGATACGTATATAACTGATATGTATATAGCTGATACGTATATTACTGATACGTACGTAACTCATACGTGTAAAATAAGTATACAGATGTTTCTGCAGTGACTGTCACCTTGAGAGGTTTCCACCTGGTGGTGGTGATGGGTTGATATTTTGACGCGGGCTTTGCGACATTGTTCTATGCGTGGTGTTATTTCGACACAGCACTGTTCGGTACTTAAAGCGAAATCGGCAACCTTAACGACCGAACTCACTCTTTACACACGGTCTTCGTGGACTAGAGCGACATCCACATGGCCATGTCTGTTACATCCCTGTTTAATATCAACATACACACAAAGCTCAGTCAATGCACTCGCACGTTTACCTACCTATGATGATGTCATACACACAAAGCTCAGTCAATGCACTCGCACGTTTACCTACCTATGATGATGTCATACACACAAAGCTCAGTCAATGCACTCGCACGTTTACCTACCTATGATGATGTCATACACACAAAGCTCAGTCAATGAACTCGCGCGTTTACCTACCTATGATGATGTCATACACACAAAGCTCAGTCAATGTACTCGCGCGTTTACCTACCTATGATAATGTTATTGACGGAGGTGGTCACCTTGTTCCACGAGTAGTGGTGCCCGGGTACAGTGCTGTCCGGTGATTTGAACCTCAGGTGCTGTCCACCCCTCTGCAGTACTTCCATGCTTTTGCCCCAGAATTTGGTCTTCACATCCGACCACCCGTGTATCTCATACGTCTCGCCTTCAGCATGAATGGCGCTGATGGGTGGATGGTGGCTCACCTAGGTACCAGTAGGTGCAGGACAAGTCCATTAATGTACACGACTATATCATGTGTGAGCAGAATAGATACAGATTAGAGAGAGCTTCTAAAGTCCCCCCCTCTCAGTATGAAGGAGGATGGTGGTTCACCTATTTATCAGTAAACGCAGCGGCACGGGTCTATGGGTTGTGTAGAACTTGGAGTGTATACTCGAACAAGGCACGCATCTCATATGTCACCCATTCCCCCCACCCACCCCCCCTCTCAATCCTCAACACGACTGGCACTGAAGGACGGGCGGTGGCTTATGCTACAACGAGTCTGTCGACTGAACAACGATGTATAATGTGTGTAACTGAACAACGATGTATAATGTGTGTAACTGAACAACGATGTACAATGTGTGTAAGTAAACAACGATGGATAATATGTGTAAGTGAACAACGTTGTATAATGTGTGCAAGTGAACAACGATGTATAATGTGTGTAAGTGAACAACGATGTATAATGTGTGTAAGTGAACAACGATGTATAATGTGTGTATTCTAGGGATAGATGAAGAAGTTATCTTGTATATTTCTCCCTTCGCGATGTCGAGATGTTGACTTGTGTAATACTAGGACATTGTGTGTCCACTGGAGAAGCGTAGAAGGTACAATCCCCTGATAGTCTAAAAGGATATGTACCAGCTTGTCTAGAAGTGCAGCCGGAAGGCCCAGGCTTCAGAAGCTGACATCTGATTGATGAAGCTGACATCTGATTGGTGAAGCTGACATCTGATTGGTGGATAGTAACCACCCTGTATATACGCAAATACGCAAGTGTACAACATGCCGAAGTACAAAAGACATACAGGATGTGGGACAATCACCACTATCCCCGTCCTCTCACACACAACAACTTCAGGTTGTACTTATACCTGGACTTGGAGTACGATGGATCACAGCACAATTTACGTTGTACTGTGATCTATCCTACTCCACGTTCTGGCATAGATACATTACTAAGTTGTTGTGTGTATAAGGATGAGGATAGTGGTCACTACCCCTCATCCTGTATTTCTTTCACGCTTTGGCGTGTTGCACACTTGCGGACTTAAGTAAACACAGGGTAATACTCCCACGCGCCACACACCCGGTTCACTATGTAGTTCATAACAGCACCGTTTCAGCCAAGGATGTAGTTTCATATACTGCCTCCCCTCTCTTTGGAATCCGGCCAACACTTACACATCGACAAGATACCCAAGAACGGACATTTATTAACTTCCAAGTAGATCTACGCTGTCCTAAGGCCCTTCCCATTTGACTGGTAGGACCTAAAGCTATGATTGAGCCAAACCCCCGCCCTTCTCCTCCGCATGACTGATATTCTTTACAGGCCACTGCGCAAATGTCGCTGACAGCTAGATGCGTGTGTGTCTCATAGAGATCATATTCGGCTTAGTAGAGTGGATGCTCGAATAATCGAGGATGTATGAATACGTCAGTATACACTTGCATTTATATACTTTTACACTCGGAACACGATTTCAAACAACCCCAACTGCATATACACTTGCATGCTAGTATACGCACCCACCCACACACCATCCCCCAGTACTCACCTGTTCGCAAACCAAGCGATTAGATCCCAGAACAAGCTCGTATGTTTCGCCCAGGAGCGGATTGAAAGGCTTGCCCACGCGATGGCTCGTAGACGAGTAAGTGGAAGCCGCAAACGCTGCGACATACAGCATCTGCGTCTGTGCTCGCTCACTCTCGGTGGAGCTGTAGACCAGGAAAAAAGCAAACGCGTTTAACCGGATGGAGATTGATATAGGGCGGTCTAGAAGTACTTATCTCTAACAGTGTGTGTGCGTAATTACAGATGCTCAGGGCAGTCGGGAAGCGGAGTTGCCAACCAACGACTACATCAGACCACTATGGCGGGCTTGAATGCAGAAGCCCTGCCTACGCACAAACAGGTTCGTACACCCAACACGAACGCACACATACCACAGCAACAGAGGGGACGATGGCGTCTTGCCTGCCACCACATCACTGCCCATCTTCAGCAGTGAATGGTACTCCAGGTCTTCGGAAAGGCGCTGCAGCAGACTCAACGGCTCATTCCACACCACAGGCATGGAGATCTTGGTCAGGTCTTTACCTACCGACTGCTTGAGTACACTCCAGACCGAGAGAGCGGCCTGGTCTGTCTGTGGCGCTGGGAGTGTGGTGCGTGGGGGGCGTGTGCGACTGGGCTCTATCTCAGGTATGCTCACCCTCGGTTCGTTGGCGTCTATGACCGACACGGCTGCCGGTGCAAGTGTGTGTAGGAGTCATACTATGAGTTAGTACCAGAAACACAGTTTGTGAGCAGGTGTGTGAGCATGAGAGTATGCATGTGATGGCGGTCTGAAACCGAGCGAGATCTTTGACGCCTTGTGATGTCGTGTGTGCTGCTCTTTGGGAGGTGTTTGTGGCTGGATTGTTTCCTGTTTGAAGTTGACCTGTTTGGCCTGCGACTGCCGAAGCCACGGACGTTCAACAAAGGAACATACGGCAGCATGAGCGTGGGAGAGTGTATAGAAGAATCGCAAATCGAACGGGTATCTGGGGCTTGTGCGTGTGTATGTGTGTGTGCGGTTGTGAGTATTTGATGTATGAGCTACGGAAAAGTGGTCGATATGTGATGTTATACGTGTTATACGTGTTATGTGTAGGGTATGTGTGTGATTTGCTTTTATATCAAACGAACACACAGAGATTTTAGGCACAACGGTACGCACTCTTATCAAATACAACACCATCAAGCATCTTACTATCGTAGAATGCTATAAGGAATCACAGTATGCACAAACACTAACCCCACAAACACACTCCCACACACACACATCCCATATCGTATAGTCGCAGGATGCGTCGAATTACCACAGCGAGCACTCCATAAGAAGACAGATACACAACTAGCCGTCCATACCTCGATAAGAAGATAGATAAACAACTAGCCGTCCATACTCGATACGAAGATAGATACACAACTAGTCGTCCATACTCGATAAGAAGATAAATACACAACTAGCCGTCCATACCTCGATAAGAAGATAGACACACTAACCGTCCATACCTCGATAAGTAGACAGATACACAACCAGCCGTCCATACCATCGTAAAAGGCCTCACTGCCATCGGCATCCCCACCCCCGGCTTCTCTGAGGAGGGCGTGATCTATATCGGCGATGGTCTCCAGATCATTGTGTTGGACTGCAAGTACCTTGAGTGATTCTTCGAGTATAACCCTGTATTGTTGAGTTCAATAGCGTGGTTGATATGTAATTAAGTTTTGTATTACATATATTCGAGTAAAACAATATATTGTTGAGTTCAATAGGATGATATTAATATGCAACTAAAGTTATTTCACAGAACTTCGAGTATAACCTTGTATTGTTGAGTTCAATAGGGTAAATGATATGCGATTAAGTCTTGTATTACACATTTTTGAGTATAACACTATATTGTCGAGTTCAATAGAATGATATTAATATGCAACGAAGGTTTATTTCACAGAACTTCGAGTATAACTCTATATTGTTGAGTTCGGTAGGGTGATTAATATACAACTAAGTTTTGTATCACAGGATTGTGATGGTAGTGTCTGTCGCCGTATGACTTCGGGAATCGCTCGAGTGTATATGGTAGGTATGTGCACACATATCACAGCAGAAACATCCGAACATGTCCTCTTCTAGCATAGGCCGTGATGCCTTGACATTTCTTTCCGAGTGACTTATTACTTTAAATGTGTGATTTGTATCTTTAAATGTGTGACTTATAACTTTAAATGTGTGCACAGGATAAAAAGCAATAATTTTAACGCTCCCACTGGGTATAAGATTCGATAGTATCACTATTGAATAATGTCCATGACAACAACAACCCACAGACACAAGTCACACACACACACACACTAGTACATGGGTGGCAGGTACGAATAATACCGTAGTGTTTTGCCACAAACGTAGCTACAACCCCAGTCCATGTGCCAATGTCCACTGGAGAGATTTCCCACATATGTAGCGCATACGTCGACACCACTGTACTTGCATCCCCTATCCCCTCCTTCGCCCATGCAATAGTATTTAATTCTCATATCTATACACAATAGTATCTATTTCTCATATCTATGCTTGCAAACCTTACAACCCAACAAGCATGCACGTACTTGCCTCGCTTGGCGCTCTCGCTGCAACTCGTGCGCCCACATCTTCTCCTTCTGACTGAGTGTTGTTGTGACGTCACCCAGCGATGAGATCAGCGTATGTATCTGCCTCAGGGGAACCTCAAACTGTGACAGGATGCGCACGATGGGAGTGGGTTGTGTTTGCATACCCAGGCATTCGTAGTATGAACCAAAAGCCCACACAAGCCTACATGCATGCGAAAACAGAGCCATAATACACACAACACACACAAGCCTATGCATACACACAACACACACAAGCCTATGCATACACACAACACACACAAGCCTATACACACACACACACACACAACACAACACACACACACACACACACACACTACACACACACACACACACACACACAACACACACACACACACACACGAACACACACACACACACACACACACCTGTTGGGCCACGGCTACGGCGCTGTCCCGTTCCAGCCCTTCGGGTAACTCCAGGGCCTTGACCTCCGCATCTTTCACAAGCTCCGCTACAGACTGCCGCAGCTTGGCCGCAGACACCAACAACTCCGGAATCGCCTCCAGACTCATGTGAACAGCGTTGGGGTGCGGGCTCGCGTGGGCGTGTGTGTGCACGTGTGTCTTGGTGAATCCTTTGATAGTGATATCGCCGCTGTACTGCTGAAAGGACGCCATCCAGCGTGCTAGTTCGTGCTCGGTCTCGGCGCGTAGCTTGAGTTTGGAGGTTTTCGTTTCAACCACGAACTCGAAGATGCTCTGTGTACAGGGGAGTGTGCGGATATGTGTGTCATGGGATACTACAGCACTGAACAGACTCAAGTAGCGAGTCAGCATACCACAGACATACAGGGGGTGATCTATATATTATGCGTAAATATTTTTAAGGGTGAACTTTAAAAACCTCGTCGTAGCTGTTTGACCTGGATATACCCTATAAGCACTTGACGTCGCTGCCATAGGTAGCCGTGTGTGATATATATTATGTATATGAGAGCTTGAAGCTATCTACATAACAACCGCCAGCAGTATACGTCTGTGCAACGAAGATTACGTAAGTATGCGTGTAATAGTAATTCACAACAAACATCACGTGAGTATGAGTGAATAGTAATACAATCCCGGCCAAGGAATTGTGCCTAGAGAGACAAAGTGCGATTCATAGTAACTGTTATTGACCTTACCTCGTTGGTGACATCAATTACAGAGTGCTTTGACAGAGTGTAGACATCGATTAAATCCTCGAAGTCGTTGTTGCCACTGACCTGGTAGAACCGCAGCATTCCCTTCCTCTGCAAACGGCCATGGGCCAAAATATGAGACGAATGCCAAGCGGTTATAATTTACACACAATTAAACTGAATACAAAGCTGTGTACGTACGTGGGAGTCTCCGTGACAGAAACAATGCAGCATCGAAGGCATATACAAAGTATACCACGTGCTCTGACCCTGTAGCCTCCCCTACCGCAAGAATATCGCGGAAGCCCAATACCACGCAAGATACAATAACAAATGCGTGTGCATAGTATAGTCGGAGCGCAAGAGTGAACTCACCAACACCACACCACGTTTGCGCCACCGCCGCAGCACTGTGTGGAATCGGAAGAGTATCCCGCGCATACCCACAGACGAGCTTAAACTCTCCAACAGTTGCCGTAGCTGATCACTGTACGCTATTTCTGCCGGTGCTGTGGGTGTGAGGTGGGGTGTGTGAGAGAGTCAGAGCTTGAGCAGACAAAAGGGTCCTATACACTTAGTATGTGCTATATGTATGTATATGCAACATAAAAACTTTCACAAGATACACGGTATAGAGATGTAGGACACTTATTCGAATACACAATATGCATGTATATGTCTGAACAGGATGTCATGCACATCCACACATGTATGGAAACACACATAAACTGCCGTTCCTGGTTGCTTATCGCCATTTCAGCCGATTTTCAGATGTTCAAATATATTTACACGAATCCATTTACTAACGAAAAGAATACAACCCGAGTCCCACGCCGCGTGCTCGTATCCGTGTAAAAGTGATTCTCGCAACGATATGCTCTCATCGAATACACCATCACGTACACGGTCACACCCAATAACGTTTAAGCATACTATCCACATCACAGGGAATCAGATCAAACATCAGACAACCATTCCGCTGTCCAGACCATTCAATCGGATTAGGGAAAGGCTCACACCATCATCGTTACTTCATACAACATAACCTATGAAACAGACAGAGTAGAGCTGCACTCCGATAGGAAAGACACTTTCACGACGTTCGAGTCACACCCATTTCGTCGTGTGTGGCCACCTATGCGACATACTGTGCATGTGCCAAACAATACAGAACAACCGATCCATTGCACATGTGCATAGCTACGAGTCAAATAACAGGCACTTAAATCAGGACTGAAAGTCTTAAGGCAAGGATTGTATTCTCCAGAAGCAAAGGCGATGCACAACGCTACTATACTATAAGTACTCATTGCGCCTATCTCCGAGTCATAGTCTTCTACTTCCGTATTGAGACTTGTTCATGCATAAGCACGCGCCGACAAAGTAAAACAACTCCACACACACGCACAAATATAAATAGCTGCAGACACAAAATCGTAGGTACAGATGCACACAGACACAGACACAGACACAGACACAGACACAGACAGAGATACACACAAATGCACACATGTACGCATACGCATATACCTGTCCTGAATAGCATGCACAATGTCTACACACTCACTTTTCCCAGCTGCATTCCGCAGGCTCCTGGCACCGTTCTGCAACAGCCAAACTACCAGATCCTTATGGCCTCTATTGGCGGCTAAATGCAGAGGTGTGTTGCCCATGTCATCGGCACAGTTTATGTCCAGGCATGTACTCCGCTTGTATTCGGTCTCAAACTCCTGGATATCCCCCTTTCTGGCTGCCTCGAGAAACACAGACTCTCTCCTATGCCGCTGCACCTGAGTAGCATCTAGATTGTGGCGGTGACCACCGTCATTCAGGTTTAGCGGTTTTCATTGCAGAGTAGTCGCATGGCAGAATATCTTGAAAATACCTACCTCTAACTCTTCCAAAAATAATAATAATAATAAATCGCGATCTACATAGATCAGATGTAGATTCATACTCTCTATTTCCCCACCAGTATTCTTACTTGTTAGTTCGTCTTTGAGCTCCTTGGTTTGCGCCAGTGTGGCCGGTAACTCGCCTGTGGCATTTTTTATCCGTGTATCTGCCCCTCGTGCCAGCAGACACTGCACTATGTCCCCTCGACCCTGTCAAGATTCGAATGGATTTTGTGGTTAGGAACATATGTATAGCAATCCGCATATACATATGTACACATACATACATATATATATATATATATATATATATACGAGAGTAAAATTAAGGATAATAAATTATGTAGTACTTCGCTTAGGTATCCCTTTGCCTCCACAACTCCGCGAGTGTCAGAATGTACCGCTGTATATTACACACATATAGGCATACAAATATCTGTATCCACATTCTGCGCGTTGCACGAACAACACAATATATTCGCGACTCTAATAAGTATAAAATTAGAAATCGCCGTGCATATCTACATCTTGGCAGTCGTTGTCTTAATGTGTGTTTGTGTGCGGTGAATTCCGGTCGAATACCCACTGCACTTAGATCTGGCATCTCAGCGAGTGAGCATTGAACTCACCACCATCTCCATGTGCAACAGGCTACGAATGGGGTCTACACCAATGACTGATCATCTACACCACAAACGAAGCTACATCTTGCCCAAAGAGTGAGCAGAATGCGACATCAACGTGGCTTTCGGACCAACCCTATATACTGCATTTTGCCAAATCTTTTCCTCTTTCCTGTCTACACCTATACTCTCCCACACATTCGTGATTGTATATGGTTGAGCTTCAAACTCACCGTCAGCGCCGCCTTATGTAACGCTGTATCGCCGCTATCATTTTGAATGTTCACATCTGCTTCGTGACCTATTAATATCTCGACCACTTCTCTGTGCCCGAAGTAACAGGCCATGTGCAGTGGAGTCCACCCGCGCTGGCCTTTGACTTTTCCTATATAAGCCAAAGGTGTAATAGAATCATACGTGCTTAGCGATTGCAACACGGCGTGGATATACACACACACACACACACACACACACATATA